GCAGCTCTGCGTTTTAAATGATTTCTTTATGGGTTGAGTGATTTTGATAAAAACTAATGAGACCCACAGACAGGCAGTTTTGTTTTCACAGCTGACGGCCGCCTTGCATAACGCATTCACATCAGCAAATATTTTTCCAGGGACAAATACATGTCTTACCATGAAGCAATGATTCCTAAAGAAAGTGCCTAACCAGCCCCAGAAGGAAGGCGTCGGTGCCGTCAGCTGCCTGCTGTGTGTATAGAGGTTGCTGAAAGTTTCTGTTGACTTTAGGCACTTATCAGGAACAACTTAACGTTTTCACTTCTTGACTTGAGCAAGCACAGAGCCACATCACATCCTTTTTGTTCTTCTGCAAGCAAGTTCAGGGTATCTTCCACACAAATGGTATGGTATGTTCACGGCATGGCATTTTAAGGGCGTTCCTAAATTTCACATGAACTCAAAAATGAAGGAAAAAGTTTTCTGCCGGACCCTGGCAATAGGCTATCAAGATAAAGATTTTGTACTACGTTTAAACCATGCAAAAAATATCCTGTAACTGGGCTGGAAGTCAGAGGAACTGGAAGAAATTCTGTGCATTTTTAATAGTAAGGGTAACCAATCATTAGATCGAAACATCAGTTTCATTACTTTACATAATAATACAATCATCACTCACAACATTCAGTTGGGCAACTGAATTTAGCTCACCTCTCAACATTGCTCCAAAAACCTATTCTTTAAACCAAAACACAGAAGAAAAACCCCAAACAACAACAATAGCAGGTTTTAAGTAAAGCTTTTTGGCCAGATATGAGGCTTTGAGCAACCTGCTCTAGCAGCAGGTGTCCCTGCCCATGGCAGGGAGTTGGAACCAGATGATCTATAAGGTCCCTTCCAACCCAAACCATTCTATGATTCTCTGAAATGGAAATATTTCAGCCCAAATTCCTAAACTTCTTTCTTGACTACACAGTTCGCGACTCAACGACACACCCCCAGTGAGCCATCCTTGCTGTGATGTGTGAAGCTCCCTCATGGCTGTCAGGGGAAACGTCCTCACCCTGAGCCTCCAGCAGAGAAAGAGTGCAGGAGGCAGGGAAGCACCAGCTTTGCTGGGGCTGTGCTGTAGCACCCCTAAATCTGAACGACTCCTTCAGCCTTTTCCTTCTGCCTTTGAACATTCTGTTTCTCCACCAAACGCTCAAAAGGACATTTCAATGGAAAGTTTTCAACCACCCCTACAAATCCCTTAGTTCAGAGAGTTTTTAAAGGGATTGAGTCTGGCTTAAGTGAGCTCACACTAGGGATTTTAGCCGGTTTAAGAAAAGACTTTCACAAATCGATTTCACTGAACGCAGCACATGACTTTTTGCTCTTTTTTTCTCATAGATGAGACCTGATATTTGACCACAGGTCAACACGAGAATGTTACAGACTAGCTGCTGGTCTTTGAACGCAAGCCCCTCTGCCTGCTTTGGCTCCCCTCCCTCCCACCACAGTGATGCTCAGGAGTGAACTGCCTCTGATTGAACTGGCTGTTTACCAGCTCCCTTGCACAAACCTTTTCTTTGCTCCAAAACTGTTATTCCTGTCACTTGCACCCTGTTGTCTTGGCCTCAGGGAGAAATCTGACCCGTGTGTAAAAGCGTCATGGACCGAAGAAGCATCCCCCCGACCGTGTATCTACACAATATTTAAGATAACAGAGAGCAGCAGCGTGTTTATGGGCCTGGTATGCAGCTCAGACACTGCACGTAGCAGGTTGTGCTGAAAAATGGATTTTTAAAGGTGCTTTTGTGCAGCCCTTCGTGTCCAGCACTCCTGTTTCTGCGGGAGCCAACCAGAGAGTAAGCACAGGGCATAACTTCTTTGTTGGACAACTGACCACCTAAGATGCTTCAAAGGCTTCTGGAAAAAAAATGTTCCCTTAGGCCTAAATAGAACATACTGAAAAATAATGGATTATGGATAATAAGGAAACGATGGATTATGGGGCACCACCTGCATAGAAACCATATGGGAATGGCAGCCTTTCCCCCAAAAAGCCCTGTGGGTAATACAGCTATCAAGACAGCATCCAATCTAAATTTCCAGTTGTTTCAAATAAAGACAACAGAGGAAGGTACTGGTTGTACGCCATGTCTGTGCCTGTGACAACCCAGATATGTTGGGTTTTTTTAACTTCAAGCATCTGAGATTCTTCTGTCTAACCTTGGCAGTCCCTCGTTTTATCTTCTAGACACCACCACACAATGGTTTACAAACAGCTTCTCTGCGTGATTAGAAGAACAGTAACAGGAAACTGTCCAAACAAAAACACAACCCTTACCCTACCCAGACTTTGCTTCTCCGAGGTGCCTCCATCTGCTTGCTCTCAGCAGTGCTGCAGATAAGATTAGACCTGCTGCTAAACCCTCCCAGTTTCCATCCTGCTCATTCTTTTCCCTTCCTAAAAAGACAGCTTATCTGCAGTTTCAGAAAGGCTTTGTACTGGAGGGCAAAGTTACTGTCTTTTAACAAGGAAGAGTGACCCTCTGGAAAGACTTGCCTTGAAGTCCCTGATTTTGAGTATCAAATCATGACCCTGCACTCTTCCTCTGCTTTTTGACTGCCTACACGCACCAGACCAAATAAGAAGGCAGCCACAGCGATAAAGCCCACCAGAGAAAACAACGCTAACCAGGGGTAATCCTCTCTATACCTAAACCCCAAGGAGCCCGTTGGAGTGAAAAGCTCAAGAAAGAAACTTAAACCCAGCGATCACTCTGAAAACTTGGGAATGGCAGGTCTCAGAGGACCAACAAAGAAAGGCATGGGAAAATGGATGTCTTGGGGGTTATGGCTTGGGACTGGGCGAGTGTCAGTCCAGTACTCAACTCCCTTGTTGACTTCCAGGTTCAGGTGCACCCAGAGCAGCCCCGAGGTGGCCCTCCAACCCTCCCAAAAGCTCGCACCACAACTGCAGGCACAGCTTCACACCCTCCCAGGAGCATGTGGGACCCAGCACGCTTGGCAGGTCAACCTGACATCAGGCACGCTCCCACAGCCAGCCAGGTGCACAGGTGCAAAGCCAGCCCGGCCAGAGCACTGCCAGAGCTTGCTTTTTCAGAGCAGCAAGGACAAGGTCTGCCTCGAATGCGTTGTCTCCCTTCCTGCTATCCCAATGACAAAAAAGGGAGTATTTCTCTAGGGAAAGGCGTGCACGCATGGAGGCGTTGCGGAGCATCCGTGCGGGTGTGAGTCAGTGGGCAGCATTACTCTATCGTCACTTTGCTCTGAGGACACTCCCAGGGCACAGCACGTTCTCCTTTCTGCAGCAGCACTGCCTCTGTCTCCAGCAGCGTGGCAACACTGGTTGTGCCCAGTTAGCAAAGTGTATCCTGCATGCTGTAAACCCACACCCACGCAGACACACTCCCGGCCTGTGCCCAACACCCAGCTCAAAGGATCTGATCTCGCTTCGGGGGGTCTTCTTGCAGCTCAGTATATGAAAAAGCCTCAGTCGTGTCCGCTCTCCAGCCCACTGCCCCAGCGATGGATGCAGTGGGTTCGACCAGTGCGTCTCCCAGCAGACGTCACGGTCCCTGGAGCCACAGCACAAGGACCCCGTCCCATTCACTTCAGAGGACCAGGTGGGGTCAGGACTGTTGCTGGAGATGCTCTCAGCCCCCATAATTTGGAAGCTGATGGCTCAGAGCACAGGAAAGAAAGCTCTGAAAGTCATTCTTCTAAACTCATGGCCTTCTTTGTTTTATAGCAAGACATTATGTGGGAAAGGACTTTGCTTTTATATGGGACAGAGCTCAACAGAGCAGGTGTTCCTAAGGAGCAAACATTCACTACAGCCTCTGCATTTGTTATTGTGACCATGGATCATTGCATCGGTATCTCAGCAGCTCAGCTGAGCTCAGGACCCTGCCATGCTGGGCGTGCAGAGTCAGGGGCAGCCTCTAATCCACAGCCTGGCATAGGTGGATAGAGAAGGAGAAAGGAAACGTGTGGGGAAGGGTGCAGGTGCCCAAGGTCATGTGAGAGGAGTGTAAACCAAACCTACTTGCCCTCCTACCTTACTCCTCCTCCTGAAGATCTTATCACTGCTTGTGGGAGGGGGGTAATTTGGAAGACCCACCCTTCAGTTAGTTAATTGTGATTGTTACAAAAAAAATTGTGTAAAGAACACAGGTGGCGTGCTCTACATTTCAACATGCCATAAAATATATTCCTCATTATTCATTTACCTCCTGGCTTTACAAGACTGTGATGATTAGTGACAGAGAAATATGTCAGAAAAACACCAAATGAGAAGAAAAACCAGATATAAACAGATATACCCTTTGCCTGAACCCATTTTGACTGCACAATTGAGCTCCTGGTCCCAATGACAGCCCCAAGCTGGGTGGTGCTAGCACAGAATGGCTGTCCCTGTATCCATGTCATGGTGACTGTTTTATCTTGACTTTTTACAATGGGGCAGATTCTGAGTTTCCAAGATAAGGATGAGAACAGGCTTTCCTTCCTAGAGATATCTCCTGCCAGCCCTTGGATCTCCACGTCTCTGTGGTTCCCTTGCGAGGCTTTCCCAGGGGCTGCAGGCAGAAAAGAAGTGTCCTGGCAGAGCCCAGACCAACAGCCCAAGCGCACCATACCACACCGCAGATGCTCAAGCCATGTCTCACAGCAAGCATTAGGGCTCGGGCTCCTGAGTAACCTGAACTCTTGCTTTGGGGAGGAAACGAGCCAGGCAGGGCTGCAGAGACCAGCACGGACCACCCCACAAAGATTTTAAGCAGTAGCTCATGAGTTTGGGAAATGCGGCCGTTCCTGACGTGGCAGATTCCTCCCAGCTGTCTCCAGAGCTGACAGCATCCCTCAGTTTGTATGTTGCAGGAGGTATGAAGGATCTGGTCTCACTGCTCCAAGCCCTACCTCCACACCGCAAGCATAATGGCCCTGGTTCACCCCAAGCATCTCTGCCCACAGTGCCCCACGCCTGTGACAAAGCAAATTTTACTTACAGATCTGTGACTCTGGGGACCTCAGCACCTTCTTTGATTCCTGCCATATGGTTTTGCAGTCCTCCTGGAGCTTATAAAATCGCTCCTTTCTCCAAGAACTTGACTTCACTTTTAGCAGCTGGCTGCCTTTCAGGAGGAACTTCAGATCCTTGTCATCTTTCAGGCCTGTGAAGAAACAGTAGCGGTAATGGTGTAAGGATCGACTCAAGAAATGATGCTCATAGGGTGTTCTCTTCCACAGGACACTAATCACAGATATGGACAGACCAGTGCAGCCACATCAGGAGAGATGTGGAGCAGAGAGACCCAGAAATCCGCCACACCACACTTTATGCTCACAAAAGAGGCAGGAGCCTTGTAGATTTCTTAGATTGAGTCCAAAGACTTTTGTACTATAATTCTCAGGTGGTTTACAAACATAAAATACCTTCTTCCCAGCAAACACAGTCTAACGTAAGGATGCAAAAACAGCTACAGAAACAACAACATAACAGTAAAAGCAGAGGAAAGAAAGTTGTATAACTTCTAATTGGAGTACTGTCAGGAACCTTCAAGGGATTTCAGATCTATTCTGTGACAAATTTCCTTTGTGGAAACAGGAATTCACAAAGATGTCCCTCTTCCTTCTCTGGCAAGCAGACCCCTCCTATCCACACGGGAATTTTGAAGATCAGTGTCGTGAAGCTTAGGACATACACAGACAAGTATGGTGACAGGCAGCACCGTATCAATAAGGTAGCAATATGGTAGCAACCGTGCTCTCCTCATTGCCCAGCTGGTATCCAAGAGGACCTTTATCTGCCAAGCAATAATCACTGGACCTTCTGGTTCCAGTAACTTCAGATTTCACATCTTAGGCAGATTCAGGAAGGCACTCAGACAGGTAGAGGCAACAGGCATCTACTGAGACCTTGAAAACAGAGGTTTGGCATTCTACACGGTTTTGAATGTCTCAGCAGTATATGACTTGCACATACCTAAATACCTTGGAGAATCTGTCCCTCAAACCAACCATTAATTACAGATCTGGAGCGTGTGGGCTGGGGAGGGTGAGAGCATGAAACATGACAAACACGTCCTGGGCTTTCTGTAATAGGCACTTTGCATCTCTCTGACATTGCATGAAAGGCTTGTTCAAAGCTGGTGAAACAGCACTTAACTCTGTAGCACTGACCAAGCACATCCCAGCTCAGTGGGATTTTTGCTAACCTTGTCTTCACAATGCAGATAACCACTGGGCCACTTGCAGCCACCTCACACTCACATCATGGGAAATTTCCCAACACTACGTAAACATAAGGTGGGGTCCCATAAAGAAGAAATCCAAGTTAACTGATTTATGCAAGAACATTTTTATTGCAGTGTGGCATTCTCCTGTGACATTGGGTTTGCTCTTCTCTGGAAGACACAGCTGCCTTGAACTGCTGCTTTTTGAACAGGGAAAGGCAATAAAATATCAAGCATTGCTTCAGGCCTGCTTGAAAAACAAAATTTAGCATGAGATCCAAGTGGTCAAAACCCCAGGCTCCTGACAATCCATACAGGGAACTGAAGTGCCAGGTGCTGCAGAGCACCAAGATGGGTCATGGTGGCAGCAGCAAAAAGTAGCACCATGAGTTCGTAACTGGGATACATTGGCCTAAAGAGAGCATTTTTGGTTGCCAAAGAAAGCCTGAGATCTCCATCAGAAATAAATATTAGGGGTGTCCAGTGCCCACTCAGTGAGCTGCTCACATCACTTGACTGGTTTTGCAGATGCCAAGGGAGCATGCCTGGAGCTGAGCCTGGCTGAGGTGACCAGAGTTGAAAATGTCATGGTGGGAGCTGGAGATCCTGAAAAGTTGGCTGTGGCCTCTCTCTTTCCTCTAGATTCAATTAGATATTTCATTAATTAAGTGTCTTCCCATGCTACAGCATCCCCTGGCCTCTCGGCTCATGTCTGGTCTGGAGGTTCCCAAGAGGACAATTTGAATGCGTCCTCCTCTGGAAAACTCAGAAAGAAACACACGGAGAGAAGGAAAAAAGCCACCTCCTGCAAAGCACAGAAGGGTTAAAGATTGGCCCCAGCTATGAGATCTGGGACACCCTCCTGGGTTTGCTGAGGTTCAAGCATACTCAGGGATTGACAAGAAGCCAGACCATGCAGAGGAAGGACAGACACCAGAACAGCTTCATAGGTCCTTGGTCTCCTGAGTTGCTGTGTTGAGGCTTCCTCTCCAAGGCCAAGGTCTTCCAAGCACAGAGGAGATGCCACAGAGACTTAGGCCTCACTGACATTGCTGTGGTACCCCTCAAGGTTCCCGGAGAGGGAACAAACTTATTCCTTCTCTATATTCCCCCACAACATTTCTGTTCTGGCTCCCAGCCTCATTCCCTCTCTTTCTTCAGATCCCAGCCGTGCAAGGTGTTGTTACGGGACTAGGAGGAGGACATGCCATCACAGGATCACATGAGGAGGAAAGCAGGAAAACCATCAATTCCTTTGGGCGTCTATGTGCATAAGCATGTAATGAGAAATCCCTGTGAACTGTGGCATGTTCTGTCACACAGATACTCCATGCAGCATTCATAAAGGGTCATGCTACCTCGACATGCCAAAGAGCTGCACCAATGTCATACAGGCAAATATGGATGTGAACAGGCAGTGGTCAAGGGCAGATTCCTGTCCTCCAGGTTTGATCCACGCAGGTGAGACACAAGCTGTAGCTCGGATCCCTCCATCCTGCTCAACGGCACAGCCTGCTCAGTGCATTACCCTGGGTCAAAACTCCCCTTCCTCTTCAGAGGATCCAGCCATGGGTTTGCAGCAGCCCTCCCAGCCATTGCCACCCATCCTTGGCCACTGTGTCTGAGGACCAGGCCAGGTTAAATGACTCAGCCAAGGAGGCCACTGCACTTCGCATGAGCAGGAGGGAAAGATGAAGAGGGATGGTGCGCGGTGAAAGCACAGCAAAGATCAAAGATGGCAAGAAGCCTGAGTCAGAGAGCAGCGAGAGAAGCCAGGGATGGGGTGAAGGCAAACCTGCCTCTAGGGGATGGCAGGTTTGGCCAGGAAAGGGTGAGAGGCGAATCTCGGGTGTCTAACAGCTCCGTCGTTCCTTTGATGTGGGAGGCCTTTCAGATAGAGAGCAGCCACCCAGAGCTGAGCTCTGTCGGTGGTGACCCCAGGGACTGACTGAGCCACCCGGCGGTGGGCCCGGAGGAAGGAGGGCATTCCCTTAACCGGGTGGGCACAGCCTGCTTCTGTCTGTCTGGCAGCTGTTTGAGCTCAGACAGCTAAACTGGCCAGGAAGGAGGGCCAGCGCTTTTGGCCCTGCCGCCTACGACCAGTCCAAACACTGCCACAGACTCTTTAAATGACCTTGGGCGAGTCACTTAGCCTCCCTATTGCTATCCACAAGGCAGACACCAGCGTTTTGTTAGGCCAGAGATGGAGCAGAAGCAGCTCTGAACTGCTGACACAGGAATACCAAACGCACCCCTGACGTGCCAGTGGGACATTACGTTCCGTTGGTCATTTGAATTGCTTTCCAGAAATGAGCACCTTTTCCCAACAGAAACCCCGTTTCACAGAATCACAGAATGGTAGGGGTTGGAAGGGACCTCTGTGGGTCATCTAGTCCAACCCTCAGCACCTCAGGACTTCTGCCTAACAACCCCATGGAGCTGAGGAGGTTTGCTGTCCAGAGCTCCATCTCACAGCAACAGAAACTGTTCTATGAAAGAAACCAGAGTTGTCATACATACACACATCAATTAAAAATTCAAAAGCACTGTGTAGCAGGACAACGATATTAGTTTCCAACTATACAGCAACACTAGGCATGAGAAGCACACTCACCACACTGAAACAGATGTCAAAGTACTGCCAGAAACATGTGGCAGGACTGTGCTTTGCTGAGCATCCTCTGTGAAATACCAAATACATCCTCGGCACGCAAAATCGCAGAGAGCGTTTCAGGGGTCAGGCTCCCCTCCTCGCAAAATATCAATCACACCCTCTCTAAACAGATTATAGTTAGTGTGCGGTAAAGTTCAGAGTGAAAATCATGTTTGGCAAAGGTGGAAGTGCCTCAAGCACACAGCACTGCAATAAGCATGAAGTTAATATGCTGCACTATGAAGTTTTATATACTAAGACATCAAAAATGTTAACCTTTGTATTATCTGCCTCAGGTTTACAGCAAGCAGGAAACACAATAAAACAATAACTGTCACGGCAGGAGCCAGGCTCTGAGTTCACTAAGGAGATAGTTAGGAGGATGTCTACAGAAGACAGTGATTATCCATATTTCTGCATTGCTCACTCACAAATCTGCTGATCTGGTATAAATACGTTAACTACAACTCCTATAAAACAAGTCTCCTCCTGCCTGCTCTCCCTTTCCCACCTGGTTTAAGACCAGACACAGCTCAGGTTTACTGGTTTAAAAGGGCTGAAAGCCTTTCTGATAAAATCCAAAGAACTCGGGCGGGTAAACAGTGATTTTCCATTTCCACCTGCCCTCTGTAGCCACAGAAATCAAGGGACCCCACTTGTGCTGCCTCTCCAGAGAGCAGGAACCAGCAACGAGCTCACAGCCAGACACAGAAGTTACGAAACTCCCTGGGTTTCCTGTTGCTTTTCAGTGGGTGAATGCAGACCTCTGAGTGGCTCCTCGGGCTCTAACAGCAACTGGCAATACAACACCAAGAGGTCCTAAAATCGGGCAGGAAAAGGGCACTGCCTTCCCCAAACGCCCTCAGCCAGCCACAGTTCAGAAAGCCCAGCAAGAAATCTGGAAACCGACCCCTTCCCGAACAGGTCCCCCTTTCTTTGATGCCTCCAATGAAGCGGTTTACACATCTGGCGGGCGGTTACAGGCAAAGGAAAGGAAAAGAAACCTCGGGAGTGTAAAAATAACCTTGGAGTTGCCTTTAGGGTGGAGCACTGCCTCTGCGCAGGGAGAAGAGGCGGCAACGAAGCCGGCTGCCAGCGTGCAGAAGTGCCGAGGGTCCGGCCAACTCGCCCCTTACCCAGCCTGATGCCGTTCAACGCGGCCACTCTACGGCTCTGCTCCCGTAGGATGTTCTCCTGGGACGCGCTGCGTTTGGGCTGCCTTCGGAAGCACTGCATGATCCAGCGCGGGGCTCCGGGCGAGGCGTCAGGCGTCGGGGGGCCACGCCACACCAGCCGGGGGTGGGACCGTGGAAGTCTCTCCTCCTGCTTCGCTCACCAGTTCGCACGCTGGATGCAGAACTGCCGCGAGGCGCCTGCCGGCAGCTGCCCAGGGAGAAGGGAGAAGTTTTCCTACGGTCGCGCGCCAGTGGGTTTTTATGCATCATTTCCAGGGGCTGGAGGAGTCCCAGACATTGTTTGCGGCTCCTAATCAGTGCCTTGGCTTGTCAGCGCAGCCTGCCCACAAGCGCCTGGGTCGGAGAGCTCGGCTCCACCCTTTCTCTTCTGCGCAGGGCTGCGCCGGGCTGTTCCCACTGACATGCGGCCACGAGGAAGCTAAAAACACCTTTTAGCCAGAGCAGATGTAGCCCAAAAGCTGCTCGGAAAGTGTGTTTTAATGCTTTTCTTTTTCCACCTAGAGAAGAGCATTTTCCTAAGACTCTGGAGACTGTCTTTGCCACCGATTTCCTGTATGACTTGGGTGAGTCACGTACCCTGTGTTTCTGCATAGCTCTGGGTTTATTCTGCTAATTCAAATCTATCCTGCAATCTGGTACGGGGATAAGCCCCCATCTGTGGCTTCACGAGTCACTGATTACACAGAATCAGAGAGGAATTCGGGTTGTAATGGACCTCTGAAGCTCTCTAGTTCAACCAACCACTCAAAGTCAGGTCACCTGCTAAAGTAGATCAGGTTGCTCACGGCATTGTCCATGTGAGTTTTGGACATCTGTAAGGATGGAGACTCCACAGACAATCTAGACAATTTACTGTTCCAGAGCTTAGATGTTCTTAGTGAAGAATTCATTTGTTATGACCAGTATAAATGTCCTTTGCTGAAACTCATGACCATTGCCCATTGTCCTGGCAATGGCTGGGACTAAGATCCATCTCTTCCCTAGCCACGACCCCTTGTGCGGTGAAATACAGCAGCTATACTTCAAGCTGTTCCATCCTAGGGGAGTTTACAGACCTTGTTACAGACTAGGTTTTTTTGCAATTGCCTTGGCTAGTTGCTGCCTCACCAGGCAAGCTAAGGGTGAAGATACTGCAAGGAGATGGAGTCAAGCTGGGGTGAACGTCCCTCACTGCAGAACCAGGATATGCCCAAGAAACGTGACAGCGAACCACAAGTCACCATTTCTGCTGGAGACCGAATCGAAGGGTCTCCGTCATCAGCCCCCCATCATATTCAACACAGCTTTTAGAAACATATTCTCTATTCCTGGTGTCTGGTGATCCAGTCACCTTCCTTTTCTTTCTCCTCATTTTGAAGGAAGCCCTACCAACGCTCACAAATAAGCACAGAGGACTGGGTTATCTGACCAGCACAAGGACAGGATCGGAGTCATTAATCGCTGCCATATGCCACATGTAAGAAACTCTCTGGGGACAAGGCAGAGGCATTGCATGGCCTTGAACAGCAGCACACTAATAACGCCTTCTTTACACATAGCAACTACGAATCATGGACAGCAAAGGAGAACAAAGGCGTTTTCTGGATGGGCCGTTGCTGAACATGTGAACCAAGCAGTCAGTAAGTGTTTGAGGAAACACCCCCAGCCTTTTCCGAGCCCCGTGCACGTACAGGGGCTGGATGTCGGAGCCGTCACCTCTGTAGCACTCCCCGGGAGCTGGCAGCTTTGCTTTCGCCCTGGCGAGGAGGTGGGCACCATGATGTAATGGCTAGATGATATTTATTAGCGAGCAGTCTCTGAGCACTTCCCATATTTCACGTTGTACTGGAGAGGACTGATCTAATTAAAGGAGTGGGGAAGAGAGGGGTCTCCCGTACTTGCCTTAGCAAAACAATTTGCTTCTGTGCACCAGCTCTCCTGTCCAGCAGCAGCCAGAATCCCATAGGGATCGATGTGGGAGCACACAGAGCCTCTCTGCTTCATTTTCTCATTAATTCCTAATAAGCAGCGCCAGTGACAGCACTGCTTGGAGCTTTCCAGGCCCTCAGAGAACATTTTACTGTACTTATCCCTGAAGTTTGCACTCACACAAAGCACAGGATCGGCAGTCACCAAGTTTAGATACTTCGACAGAACCACAACGTGCGAGTTTTGCTGTTGTGAGGGTTTCAGAGACGTAAGGAATTTAAAATCAGTTTGTTTTTAAAATGAGGATGAGATCATTGGGCCAGCAATGCCCTGCTATGGGCAACAGCAGGTCTGGATGTATTGTGGTCTTGAGGTCATTTAAAGACAATGTCACGTCTCATAGGCGAAGCCTGACGGAAGAGTGTGACACTGTGTTACATGGCATTGCTGAGTGATGTTACAAGGTGCTGCGTCACGCTCCGGCGCTGGAGGAAGTCATTCCTGCAAACGGCTTAGGGACAAATTCTCCAACCCTTATTCACTGCAGGTAACACTCGACTGGGTCCGAAGCCTGCGAACACTCAAGCATGTAATTTTACCCATTTGACCGATCCCACTGAAATAAATGGCACTAGTCACATGAGTGATGTTATTCACGTCCTCGTGCCCAGGATCGGGGCTGTGCTAATCATCCTATCGATTCCAGCTGGATTACTCACGGAGCAAATGGAAATCGATGTGAATGAGGATGTCAGAACATGGTCCCAAAGTTAGCAAAGTGCTTTACTATCCAGGAAACAGGCACTTGAGATAGAAAGGCTGTAGAGTCTGGTAGGAAATGGGCTATGTGAGAAAATTATTAATGCACAGGCTGCTGTTCAGACAATTTTCCAAAATGAATTAATCTCCATCACATCCTTATACAAAGGAGCTAAGGAAGTGCTGTTACCAGCTCACAGAGGAAGAAGCAGGTTGGTTTTGAGCTCTTTGGGGCTGGACCTGTTCTCACACCACTGCCACGTTTGGGCAACACCAAAAGTGGTGCAACCCTACTACTGATCATAGTCTCTTTACACCACACCGACACAAATGACGTGACAGAAGTCAGCTGCCGATTTGCCCAGACTTGTGATAATTTAGGACTGGAATGAAAATACCCGTGCTGGTGATGACCTCACCGCTTCCCTGTTGCATCACGCACATGCTGCAAATTATTATGACTAATAATGCCTATGGCAGTTACATAACTCATAACAAATGTCATGTTAAGCGGAGATTTTCCCACTAAAGAGGTCAAAGGTTGTGCTTTGCTCTGTATTTGTTACCAAGAAGAAAACCTTAGGTCTATTTTACATGATGCCGTTCTTTGAAGAAACACTGTAATTTCATCTTCCCTCCCAGGCCTCCTCACTGTGAAATTCAATACAACTATTTTAATAAGAGTAATAGCACAATCAGAGTATCACTGCTCATTAATCAACTGCAATGTTTGCCCCTATATATTCCTAGTACTCAGCAAGCGTGAGACCGCTCAATCCAGGCGAACTCAGAATCAACAAGAGTTTGGAAAAGCAGTAGTTCAGCTGGTCTGTAGTAACACGACAAACTTCCATCACTTGGTAGGGTGATGGAGCGCTCAGAAACTGAAGTTCCCGATGGTAAATAAAGTTCAAGGATTACTTTTGCACCCCTAGTATGAGGAGTACTGTCAGTGCAGGGGCTGCTTGGAAATGAGCACAACCAGCCGCAGCACTGGGCAGCGGCTCCTGTTCGGAAAAGCAGAAAACCTGCCAAGTGAGGAGGATTTAGATGGTTTCTCCCATGCTTTTGCAAATCACTGATGTTACCTGCGAAGTGCCTCTGCAGAAGCCCCTTTTGTCATCTGCCATCACCCCATGGTTATATCCAACCTGGCTTTTCTATCAGCTCTCTAGCAGCCCTGTGCCTGGGATCAGTGTGGTCCCAGCAGTGGTAAGTTGCCTTCCAGCTGAGACCCTGCAGGAAGGACAGGACAGCAAGGATCCTTCCACGTCTTCAGGGCCCCACCTGCCCTGCCTTTCCCTCCAGAGTCCATTCTTCACTTCATTCACACCTTCTCACATCCCACCCGTAGACTTCCTTGCTACCACCAGGACACCACTCGCTGCTCTCAGCTTTAGCCTCCCCAGTCACATCTCACGTCCTCTGAGGACCAGACCTTGCTGTTGGCACAGCAGAGTGTGAGAACGGCCGGTTTCTCACCACCAACAAAGAATGCCAACGGCTCCTCTACACCAGCGCTCCCCTTCTTGCTCCCTCCAGGGAGTGTGGACTAGGGAGTGGGTGCTCAGACCGTAAGCATCGGTGCATCTCTGGCCACAGGTGCTGCTGCTGCTTCACGTCCTCTGAGGACCAGACCTTGCTGTTGGCACAGCAGAGTGTGAGAACGGCCGGTTTCTCACCACCAACAAAGAATGCCAACGGCTCCTCTACACCAGCGCTCCCCTTCTTGCTCCCTCCAGGGAGTGTGGACTAGGGAGTGGGTGCTCAGACCGTAAGCATCGGTGCATCTCTGGCCACAGGTGCTGCTGCTGCTCCTTGACAGAGGGTGCATCTCGGTGCATGTGGTATGTACCAAGTTCCACCTTGTGGTGACACTGAGAATGGGCTTCTCCACAAAGCCTGTGGCAGCTCCAGCTGACCTCCTCCTCTTCCTTACATTGGCTTGTTTTGCCCACTCTACTTCCCTTCCAGGGTGCTTGAGAGGTCCCGCTGAGTCGGGGCAGGGTGACCTTCAAGTTTCACATAGGAGGAGTTCTCCCCAAGTTTCATAGACTCATAGAACAGTGTGGGTTGGAAGGGACCTTTAAAGGTCATCTAGTCCAACCCCTCTGCAATGAGCAGGGACATCTATCACTAGATCAGTATGCTCAGAGTCCCATCCAACCCGGCCTTGAATGTTTCCAGGGATGGGGCATCTACCACCTCCCTAAGCAACCTGTGCCAGGGTTTCACCACCCTCATCGCAAAAAATTTGTTCCTTATATCCAGCCTAAATCTACGCTCTTTTAGTTTAAAACCATCACCCCTTGTCCTCTCGCAACAGGCCCTGCTAAAAGTTTGTCCCCATCTTTCTCATAAGCCCCCTTGAAG